TTAAAAGACGAGTAGTAGAGCACTTTTGTATTGTTGAACATGCAAATTTGTTAAATCAGAATGTCGGTCTAAATGTTGATGCATGCTGGGAAAAATGTATTTGTATAAAAAGTAATGAGTTGCTTGTTGTTAGATAATCCACCGATGAGGCTGTAACGGCGAAATGCATTTGGAGAACCTTTTGGAAAATTCTTTGAGAAATTTGAAAATAATAAAAGAAATAACGTTGGCTGAAGTATAGTATCTTTGTTAATTATTTGTCTGCCGATATAAATCACTCGAAATCGGTTTAAGAAAGAGTGTTTTATATTTACTCGTTTATTTTATCTAAAGATAATCTTTTATTTTTAGAAATTTCACCGATCCCATTGTTTTATATTTTTATTGATCAACAAATATATTATTTGAAAAAAAATGCACTTTAAAATGGTGTTTCGTCGTTTTTTATTAATTAGAGACCCAAATAAAACAAATATTTGTGTTTTTCAAATAAATTTTTGTTTGTCTCTTTTATAATAAATGAATTTATCTATTTCTAAGTAAAAATTGAAAGTGTCTGTAGAAGTAATTTTTAAAAATATTCTTTTCTGTGATAAACTTTTAATACTTATTACTATAATCTAGACATGTTAATCCTTAAATATACTTGTATATTTAAGGATTGAGTCACAAATATATTATATATACTTGTGGCCCAAAACTGCATGACTTCTCCAATGTGGCCCAGAGAAACAAAAAGGTTGGACACCCTTGGGCTAGAGGATTTAGTTACAGAAACTTTCTTTTCTGTAATATCATAATACAAACAATAGATTTAGATTTAAATATTTTATATTTTTATTTCACATATGCCAGAATAGAGTTAAAGTTCATTGAAATGTTTTCATGGATATAAATTTCCATTCAAAAACTAAATAGAGTGTTATTTCTGTTTTTAATCCAAATTTCTTAAGTTTAAATGTAATAATCACATAATAATTCTCCCTTCTGTATATTTAAAGTTGAATAACAGTGTTACAAAACCCCTTGAAATATGTAAATATATTATGAAAATCCTAGAATTTATTTTTGGAAAAATATATATGTTTCAGAAAAAAAATGGAGTTTTTTTTAATTTTCAGAATAAGGTTGCCATATATCCTGTATTTCATTTCTCATTCTGATGTTTCAAAGCATGCAATATTACATCTAAAACCTCAAAAATAGTTTATTTTGTTATTTATTTTTAAGATGGTTCTTAAGAGGAAACACTTGACTGCTCTCTTTTCTATAAATAAATCTTTGCATTTTCATTATCTCATATTTAGATATGAAAAATTTTGAGAAATCTTGTAAACAGCCGACCTGGTGGAGATTGGGGACTTAAAATCCCACTTCTTGGACACCAGTGTGAGTTGCTGACTTTTAGGAGAAGTCAATTAAGTCAATAGTCCATTCATATGTGGATGGTGGCAGAGGAGACAAAGATGACAAGAGTCTAACAAAAACCATTTATTTTAACATAAGAGTAACTTACACAATACAAAGATAGTTTGTTCTAAAACAATTGGTGGTTTAGATGTTCTAGGCGTTGACATTGTTCTTTGATTTTCGATTGAAGGTAGCCTGGGGCAGTGGCACTGACAAGTTCGTAAGGCAGGTGGAGAGGCTCTGTCAGTTGGTGTTGGTGACACAGTCTGAGTCCATAGTGGCATGGGTTACAATAGACGAGAGACTGTTTTTTTGTGCATTGACACGTTGTGTCTTGGTTAATTGGAATGTTAACTAACTAAGTGCAATACTTACAGAGTGCAAGGTGTCCTTGATTGTTGGGGATTATATCAGTTTCCGTTCTTTCCTTCATTCCTTTTGATCGGTCATTCTCCCTCGATCATGCTTTCCGAGTGACTGGTTCCTCATTACTAAGTGTAATGGGACTCCTACCTAGAACGTGAGAAAAGTCAAAATCAAAGCTGAATTCAATCTCTCACTGATCATAGGATGACATTCTGCCTATGATTTACAGTTTCTGCATTGCAGTTTGATATAAACAAAGGTGTCAGATTACAAACTTTTTTCTTGTTTTTCTAAACAATTAAATTTTTCTCTAAATTAACTATTATTCATGAATTTCGTGACAGTTTGGACCTGTCTGGGACCTCGCAATCTGAAAAAGATTGTAATCCAGAACAAAGAATTAAAGGAAAGAAGGCTATCCAGACACAGTGGTCCACTCATACCCTTATGTTACATGATCAACCACACATTCATTTTCAAATCATCATAGATTATTGGTTTATAGCAATGAATTATTTTTTAATTTTAAGCATATGTTGATAGCTAAATTGATAGATAAATGGTACTCAATATACTTACTTATTTGGCATAGCTGGCAGAAAAGTTTTTTATTTGTATTAAAAGTTTTTTTGGTAATTTTCTTGTCCACAATTACAACTGACATGGAAAGAATCTTTTGGAATTATATTTGAATCAGTAGGGCACCAGATAAAATTGTCTGTATTATGTAGGAAATATGGCAGATACTATATTTAAATATATTAAATATAAAAAATTTTAAATAAACTCATATCTGAATAAATGGCTGCACAAGATGTCAAACTGCTAAAAATTCAAATATGAAGGAATTCTTGAACTTAAAGCTCAAACTTTAAGTGGTAATTAAAATTTTAAAATCTACTACAGTTAATAACTGTTGGAATTATAGCTGTTCATCATAAAGAAATATGTTTGCTATCTTAGATATATATAGTGCAGTCAGTTTTTCATACAGACTACTTTCTAGATAAGCAGTATCTTGTTGCACTTATAAAACAATTAATTCTTTCCTTATTAATCCTTATGTATGTTGTGGATTCTGTTTAATAGCATTGTGAACTTTCTTGTATATGACTTTTAATTTTTTCCTTTTGAATAAAGATTTTCTTATTGGCAAGACATTGGTTTTGTTGCTCTCTGATAACCTTATATAGATTTCTCACTCCAACAGTAACTGCCAATCAGTTGCCCAAATGCTGTTGACATGTCAGAAAAGCAAGAAACATAGAGAAATTTGACAAAATATGTTGTAACCACTAAAATATGGAAAAATGTGTTATATAAAATTAGCATAATTTGCTTCAGAAATCACTATTTCGTGGAAAGTCAAATATCTAAATTTGACTTTTCTACATACAGCAAGAAAACATGTTGAAACATAAATCTAGGGTTTAATAATAATTATAAATTATAATAATTGATCAAAGAAATACAGTACAATAATATAATGCACAATATCACAGATTTCCAGATATAAAAAAAATTAATTATAATTTTTTTATTGTCAAGAAATTTTAAATTACTGTATAGTTTTTCAAAAAAATTTGTAGTTAACAAGATCTAAGGTACTGGGTACTGTGTACTGGGTTACTATGTTTTCATTAGCATTTCATAGAATATGTACTATATCATATTTCCTTTAAACCCAGCCTTCAAATAAACAACAACACACAACACAAGGATATAGTCAATAATGTACTCTTACGAACCAATGACTGGTGTGTAACAAAAACCTCAAACAAATGAAAAAAATTCACAACTAATGTTTTCGAACTTCCCTGAGGTGTAAACGAATGTCTGATAGAATGTTAAAGCTTTTGAATACGAACATTCGATGAATTGTTCGAATCTCTACGTTATTGACTTCAAATAAACTGCAGGGAATAAAGGTACTGTTAAAAATAAATTCCAGGTTGAGAAGCCTGGAGTTTATTTTTAACAATGAGGAAACATGTTAAAGTACTGCATTGTTTAAGATAATATAATTTAGAGTGCAGGTAAGGAATTTAATTAAAATTCTACCTTTTTAGATTGTTTAGAACAGGGGTTACCAAAGTGGTCAATGTCCACCCCTGGGGGTTGATATAACATTATTGGGGGGTTGATTATCAAGCTTAAGCTAAGGGGGAGCTAAGGATCAAGCTTATCCGTCTCACTGATTGTCAGTTACAAAAAATTATTATTACAAATATACAATAAATGAAAAAAATGCAAAATTAAAAGAAATGTATTAAAATAATCAGTGCTTTTTTTTGCTTGTAACAAACTTTTTGATGGGCGTTGATGTGAAGTTCAAAAACTTATAGAGGATCGACAGTCAAAAAAGTTTGCCAACTTTTGGTCTAGAGACAGATGGCACTTTTAATTCCAATGTTCATTTGTTCATATAAATAAATAAAACACACGCACACACACACACACACAAAAATAAGCCCCAAGTGGCTTATTTTTATAATATATGTATCTTCAAGAAATAAAATTATAAATATTGTTGAATATTAAGTGTGGAAAGTTGCAATTAAGTTTGTAATTTAAGAGCTTATCAACTGAAGAGTAATTAGGAAAACTGTAGTTCAAATTCATCATGTTTTTCCAAAAGAGATAATGAATTTGAACCAGAAGATGGTAGTCGAGGTTTTTATTCCTAAAAACATAACCAAATTGGCAGATGCTGAATTGGGCTATGAAAACAGTAATTTTTCAAATGTAGCAGCAATCCATAAATACAGTAAATAAATGGTTTTGATAATTTGGAGAATGTACAAAATAATTAAGATATTTCTTTCAATTTTTACCCACTTGTCTCCTGTTTTAAGGTAATAAACCCTGCATCTTCAAATAAATCTCAGAAGATACACACATTATAAAAATAAGCTGCTTGGATTTAATTCTGTCTGTTTGTTTGTTTGTTTGTGTGTGTGTGTGTTTTATCTCATTATTAAGTATAATTTAGTATAATTTTTATTCATAGATCAGCACTGAAAAAAATTATGGAAAGAGATGATACACCTGTAAAGACCATGATCCTTTGTATAGCAGAAATAAAAAGAATTAGTTCATTTACAGGAAATAGTGACTTGGAAGATACTACAAATGAGGAAAATGAGGTATCTAAATTTAAATGTTTATTGTATCAATGAAATTACAAAATTTGGAGTATGGGACAGTAAAATGGAGATAGAGTTAAGCTACAATAGCTTAACTCTGTCTCCATTTTACTACCAAATAATTCCTTAACTCCACTTAGACTGCAATTTTTGCTGTGATTGTATGTCCATTATATCTAATCTATAATAAAATTTTTGAATTTGCATTCAAAATTTTATATTTTTATAAAATTTAACATAAAATTATATAAATTATTCTTGAATGAAATATTCTTAAATATATAAGATGATGATAATTAAAGAGTAGATGTTCAGAGTTTTCTGGATCTATTCTTTAATTATTGGACAAACCTCAACCAAATTTGGTATATTTATATATTGCCCTGATTATGCAGTTTCAATTTTCAGAAAAAAATTTATTTTAAAATTTTGCCACTATCACAAAATATGGCACTACTGTCTCCTTAATGTTCATATTACATATATTTTCTAACAAATTTCAAGTACAGAAGGAGTCATAAAATATTTTTCACAATTATTCAATAGGTGAATAGTCACAGTGTTTACTTTGTCTTATCATGTGTTACTTGTTAAACTTTTCTATCAATGAAACAGCAATACCAACTCAGCACAAGGAATTTCATTGTATAAAAGGTTTACAAAGTTATCTTCTGACTATTGAGAATCTTAGAAAAATGATTTTCATTTTGAGGAGATTGGAATTTTAGTTGGAGACTGTAGATTGGAAATTGGACAAGGTTGTAAACTGATTGGACATTCAAAAACAAAAGACATTACTGGTGAATCGAAGACTGTAGCAGTGAAACAGAAAATGGAATGGAAAATTCTGATATTATCAATATTACAAGTGCAATACCATTACAATTAGATTGGTTGTACGGTACATGACATTGTGAAAAGTTTGACAAAAATCTTCCATTTTTATCCATACACGATATCCCACAGTCAAGAGTTGGTTTCTGGTGATAATGATAACTGGAAAAAATTTGCCACAATATTCATAAATTGGATGATGGTTGATGATGCTTGGCAATTTCTGTGAAGTGATGAGGCTCATTTTTATTTGTGTGGTGATGTAAACATTCACAACTTCCATATTTTGTCTGACAAAAATCCACATGTTTATCAACAGATTCTATTGCACTTAGCAAAAATATCAGCAAGATGTGATTTCACAGCATCCTTTATCATTGGTCCTCAGCTTTTAAAGAAAACTTTACATCTAGGCTAATGACATATTCTGTTAATGACATTAGATATGGAAATAGACTTTGAAACTGTCACTACAGTATTATAGCAGAGAAATTTGTCTGAACACCACAACTTTGAGAGTGTGCGATAAGGTGCACCCCACATATTTGCTTAAATTTGTAAGTGTTACTGCAACAACATTTTTTGCTTGAGAGAGGGATTTGCCAATTATTTCTTAAATCATGGTCACCACAATCATTAGATCTGAACTCCTGTGTCTTTTGGTTATGACTTATGAGGCTATCTAAAGAGCCTAATTTATCAAAACAATATTCTCAACTTAGCTGTCTTTAAAGACAGAATTTAATAACATGTTCCAACAGTTTCATGGACATCAGTTGTGTTTCCTCATCAAGTGTGTTGTGCAGGGAATGTAGTTTTTAGAGTATAGAGATGCAAGACACATAGAGCCATATATTTGATTCAATCATCAATTTCACATTCTACAATTGTACTCATATCTGTAATTGAAATAAAATGATTAAACTTTGTTTTTTAATTTCCAAAATTCAATGGTAAATGTATGTATCAATAATATGCATATTAAGAGGTCATCAGTTCCATTTTTTGCACTAGAGACTGAATTTTGAAGTAAAATTTTTTCCTGGAGATCTTGAAACTTATATTCTGGACATTATATATACCAAATTTGGTTGAGATTTGCGCAAAAGTTCTTTAGGTATTCAGAGTTCTTTGTAGACTCTAATTATGATCACTCTATACTTTATCATGTGTACTAAAGAAACATTACATTCAAGCTAGTATATTTACCAATGAGTAGCACTAGTTCTTCATGTCTGAAATGTCAAAAGCTAGAGAAGCACAGCTTGCTGACTTAAGATTCAGATTTATTAGAACCTAACCATTCACCATCCACAAAAATATTGTAAGGAGTCAAATTCGAATTTTACATTTATTTTTGAGGTTTTTATTTAGTTCTTGTTGTTATTTATTTTGGGGACATTTTATTTTGTTAAAGGACAAATACTCTATACCCAACTGAAAAAGTAAACTCTAAATTTGAAAAATTAATACTCATACCATGACTGACACCCATACCTCCTATGTCACCAAACTACTATGGCTTCTCGGATTGAATGATTTTTTAATAGGAATTAAAGAATGGTCTCTTAATCCCAATTGTGACTGATTTCAAAAAATCAGAATTAATTTATCCTTTGAAAAGATTGGTTATGACAAATGTTTGAAATATTGTGAAGAACTAAAAAAATATCAATTGTTAGTATAAATATGCTGTTTGTTACATCACACCAGGGATTATAAAAATCCTGACAAGACAAGGTAGACAAGGTGAAATTCCCGAGTGAGTGTGATTGGCAAGCAAAGATTTCAAAATGACTTTTTCTTTTTGGTGTGATGGTTAGGTGAGTAAGTTGTAAGAATCTTTATTGTGAATTTTGTAAATAGCTCAGTTTTTGTAATTGTCAAATTTTTGTAGTGATACTTCTAAGATAATTTTAAGTTAAGTTTGTCTTTAAGTATCAGGAAAGTTTCTTTTGGTACATACTTGTTGTTTTTGGTTTTGGTTTTGGTTTGGATTAGATAAAGAATCATTGAGTTTTTATAACTTTTACAGTTCATTTTTTTCTAACTTATTTCATATTTATTATTATTAATTATTGTACATAGTCAGTCATAGAATAATAATAAATTTAATTCTTTTTTTCTGACACATACTAAACTATTATTTTTCTCTTTTTTTTTTGAAGCTTTTCATGCATTAATTTGTTTTTACATTTGAACAAATTTGTTTGTGTTTTTGTCTGTTTAAAAGTCCAGGTCTGGCACAGACCAGCCCTTGATTTCATTTTGTTGTTTATATAATGCCATATGTTAGGTAATTCTGGACTTCAAAAAAATTAGATGTTACAATATGAATCTGCATGCATCAATCTCTTGTAAAACAAGATTCAATATTATAATATTATTTAGTTTTACAAGAGATTTCTGTAACTAAAAGAGTATCAAGCTCCAGTTAGATACGCTTCAATATTGCTTGCATGCTTATACTTTTTATTCAATTATTACACTTTTGTTAAAATTAATAAAAATGCTGCAATTTGTGAATTTTATTGAACAAAAATAAAACATAACATATAGCCAAACTTCAATTTAGTTCCAATTTTGTTTGCATCTGAAACTGGTACTAAATCAAAGCAACTCAAACAATCAGAATTATTTATAATAATGAAGTCTACATACAAATTTAAGTTTGAAAGAGTGAAGGTCACATGATTTAGTGATAACAGCATTTTTATCAATGCCAAATCATGGAATTAATAATTCACATATACTGAGTGGTTTTATATTTAATATTTATGAAAAAGATCTATTTGCAAATATTTGTTGGCACTATTTAGAAGAGAGCTACATTTAAGTTTGACTGTAAAAAATTGAAAATTTTACTGATTGTCATCACTTCCAAAAATTCACTTTTTAATCAGATATACTTTGTAATTGCTAACAGACAGAATTAAATTATCAAGTGGATTTATACATAGTACTAATATTACAAACTATATGTGATATTTACACAAATTTTCTAATTTTGAGTTGTTAATTTTTAAATTATTAATTTAGATTTTATTTTGCATAAATTAAAATGAAAATAATATTTCTCATTTTTTTCTCTTATTACAGATTATTCCATCTCTGAAGCAAAAATTTAAATGGATAATTGTTCTTGATTTCTTGGGATTTGGATACAGTGATAAACCAGTAAGTAATTTGTATACTGTTGTCCTCATTTCTATTCTATATGAGCTTCTTTATATTTTTAACAAGTAATGTATATATGGGTTTTACCCTACTATCATAATCTAATACTATGCATTTACTTGCCTGTGCTTGTGCTTGTGCCCTTATGTTTTTGTCTAGATTGCATGCTATGTTGCAAATAAATTTTTTACTGTACCTGTGTTTGATTGCAAAATTATCTACTCACTTTAACTCTTTTAAAGTGTCATTAGTACTGGAGCAGTGTAAAATATCTCGTAAACAAGTGAAAATAATGATATTTTGTTTTGACTTTTGACTAAGTTCTCCTCTATTTGCTAATTGGAAAATAGACTAGTATAATAAGTCCTATTAATAAACAAGGTCCAAGTAGACAGGATATAAACAGAATTTATAGAAATTACAAAAGTTAAAAGAAAAAATGTGTGTGAAAACATTCATGTTGAAACCATTAATTCATATTATGAATCTAGTAAACAATTGTAAACAAACAAATAAAAAAAATTATTTATTTTATTTTTTTTATTTCTAATCTCCATTTCATTTTTTGTAACAAACTAGGAAATTTTATCCAACAATCAGCTTGAGCTATTATTTTCTCCACAACATTGCTCACAATGCCTGATGCTGTTGACTGCTCTAGACCAAATTCTTCTCTTATGCCTTTTTGGAATCCAGGATCAGCTAAATATCTTAAACATATTTTCATCTTTTGTAAATAAGTTAGTGCACCACTGCATGATTCAGTTGTCACTCCTAAAAAATTATGTGCCAACCATTCAACACTTTCTTCTTCAAACCTAAATAATGCCTCAGAATCACTGACTTGTGGAGAAGAATGTTTATAATAATATTTAACTACTTTAGCCATGGTTAAACATTAACAGAAAATAAACCTAGATAAAAGCAATAACAAACCACACTTCTTGCAGTTGAATCTATGTCTGACTATTGTATTTTGAAGGATATGCTTATAATTCTAAGTAAATCTTACTTTTATTCATATGGAATACTTATTACTAAAGTGAAACCTTCATTCAAAAGCATTTGCTTAATGCTCATAACTGTAAGGCTTTGCTTCTATTTTTATTCATACAGCTGAAAGGATTTCCTTCAAATCTTACAAGAATAAGGTAATGTTTGTTTTTATTCATATGGGACATATCTTGAAGTAAGGAGGAAAACCATGCTTATTTCAAGAGCTGTATTGTGAGTAGTAGTGCATTAATATAAAGTGAAAATGTTATTCAAAAGATATCAATTTAAGTATTGTTCTAACAGTACTTGCAAAAGTAATTGAGCTTGGTCAATGTTCTTAATTATTATACATATTTAATCATACCTCCTGAATTCTATTTGCTGTACAGAATAAACAGGAAATGAATGTGACACATTGTGGTATGTTGACATTGCTGGAATCATTGTGGTCATTTTTAGCAGTCCCAATATAAATTTTGTGTCTTGGTATTTTAAAAAAGTGTAAAAATGTTTAAAAACGAATGTGTAATGGCTCTTTATAAACATCCAGGACAAGAAAATTTGTGATGGCTATTTTTATAATGAAATAATTCTAATTATTTCTTTTACTTATTGAGCATTTTTGATCTTTGAGCCTAATATATACAAATGAATCAGCTTATAAATAATGTTGCTTATAAATATAAGTAATAGCTTGATAATGTTTTATATAGAAATTTTTAGTTCAGATTTTGTAGTCTGTAAATATAAATAATATTGTAGTAAAAGTTTACAGATTATAAGTTTAACTTTTTTATGTTAGGAGCATATTTCATTCAGGATAAGTAAAAGAAAAATAAGTATTGATACTTATTTTTCTTTTACTTATTCTAAAATACTTGTAAAAGAAATTTTATTGTGTATATGGTTGTCTATGGACATCTCTGAGAGGTTTCCTACCTTCAAGGAATTGTTTTGTTCTGTGAAGTTTTTATATAACAAAATAATTTTAGTAAATGAAAAAATATTCATTAAATTTAAGACATTTTCAGAAAGAACATATTTGTTATATTTTGGAGATATCCTATTAAAAATACCTTCAGTACTAAAAATATTACAAAACAAATTTTAATGACTTTAATTTAAAAAATTAAATTATGAAAAGCAGTTTTGCAGAACTTTTAGATTGGTAAGCAGGTTTCTATCATGAAGTTAATGATCTTTCTGCTTTTTAGTAAAGTGATGCTTTAAGCTTTTATTTATTAACTCTGTATTTTAATTCCAGATTTTAATACAATTATTTCAATACAATTAGATGAACTGGTGCATTAAATATATTTTTCAATTTTTTATTTCATTTTTCTCTTTTTGAATTTTATAAATCTTAACATGAAAACTTTTGCATGCATTTCATGCATCAAATTCATGTAATATCTAAACTAGATATTCTAATGTAAAATCTAATATCAAATATTTTTATATTTTTTATTTTTTTAATAATTTTCTATCTGAAATATAAAAGATATGTCACTTTTGTCATAAATGACTAACAGATGTTAAAGTCTTTATATGAATAAACTAGCTGTTACCCACAACTTTGCCCATGTGGATTTTGCAAGCAAACACCATTTATATTCAGTATTTCAACAACCATAGTAATTGTTATATAACACCTACCATTGAGAAACTAAACACTAAACAAACTGTTTTCAATTTGATCAATTTTCTGGAACCTTTACAATCGTTCTATAATCAAATCAATATGCAATAACAAATTTGAATTTAAAATGGTTCGAACATTTGGTTAAGAAATCAAAATATATAAACATATTTATAACAATGTCTGAAAGTTAACAATTTAATTCACCTAAGTACTCAATGAAGACTAAACGTAGTTGAAAACAAAAAAATCGCATCTAAAATAGTACAGTAGAAGCTGTTCTTCAGGTTAAGCCTTAATGCTCTCCCTCTTCCCCCATGGGGGAATTTTGAAAAATCCCTTCTTAGTGTGCATTTTCATGACATACCCTAACTGTGTACCAAATTTCACCTCTTTAGGTTCAGCGGTTTGCTCTGGGCGATGATGAATTAATCATTTAGTCAGTCAGGACAAGTAATTTTATATATTTAGATAATTTTTAATTTTGAAATTAAATAGACCTAAATATTAAAAAAAAAAAATTGTAAATTATGATAATTTTTAAAAAAAATTATGTTTACATATTTGCCCATATCTATCTCAGTTTATGCCTTTTTTATGCTTCATTTTTTAATGAATAGCATTACTATAGCTTATTAATAATCCAGTAGTTTAGATCTTTTGCTGATATGTCTATTAGTTACACATTAAATTATAGTATGAGCTGTATTAAGACTAATATTCATTTATGTAAAATTTTTTGAAACTATTTTAAATAAGAATTTTAAAAAAGTTATTTAATATATATCATCTTCAATCAAAACAGAGTAATTATATTTTATTAAATTTTGTTAATTTACAGAGATTTCATTCCTATTCAATTTTTGAACAAGCAGACATTGTGCAGGAAATTTTATCATTTGAAAAGATCAAGAATGTTCATATACTAGCACATGATTATGGAGATACTGTTGCTCAAGAACTCTTATACAGGTGAATTGAAGTATTTACTTTTATTATTATTTGATCTGATAAAATATTCAAAAAATAATGTTATTATTCCTTAAAATTAAAAAAATGTGCATTAATAATAATTACATAGACAATGCACAATGTAATATACAGTCGACCCCCTATAACACGGTAGATATGTTCCGGTTTTTATAAAATTCATTTTCTACGAGTCCTTAAATACTGTACATGAGCCAATCACAGCCTGGTACGTATGCAGTTTATGGACTATGGCTGTTTGAAAGGTTTTCTTCCATAAAATTAATCAATTCTAGACTAATTTGACTCAACATTTCCAAAATACGTATAATTTTTTGGGAATAATCGATATAAACTATGCTATAAACAAAAAACTGTAGGATTACTTACTGAGTGTGCACCGTTCGACTACGCCGTTGCATAAGCTTGTTTTCGTCATGGAGTAGTGCATCGAATGATGCTTGCATGCTTCCTGATAAATCATTTTTTTGCGAAAAATTCGCTGAACTTTGGAGACATCATTAATATAAATATAATTTTTATGGATGTTAAATAATAAATGGTTTTTAGTAGGTCCACTGCTCGTTTAAACTCAACAGTTTGTACAATATCCGCTATTGGTCTAGATTTGATCAATCCTGTTGTGACACGAGTCGGCAATGACGTTTTACCGAATTATACGAGTTTTTTAAGCGTGTTTATACGAATACGGTCACAATTTTTTTGCCGTCATATAGGAATCTGAACTATATGAACCCGTTTTATAGGAGGGTCTGCTGTATATTGGATTTGTAAGAAAATTTCAATAGGAAAATCAAAACAGATAAATTTTTAGGAGTATCATTTGATTTAATTTTTTTGTGTAAAAGATATCATTTTGACAATTGAGTTTGATTGCTATTAGACTTACTGGTAAGTCCATCATCAATAACCATGGACAGTGCTTCATGTATACAAATGTATCTATTGCTCTATTTATTCAAATGTTCTTTTAACCATTATTATTTTTCGAAAGACTATTGTAGATTTTTTGGTATTGAATAAAATATATATTATGATAGAATATATAATTCTAAAAAATGTAGAGACTCAAATTATATAGATGGCATTGAAGTGGATCATTATTGTAATAAATACAAAAAAAATTAATGAAAACTTTGTCAGTTTGACATTATTGGCCATTAGCTTTTTGTGTATAATATGCTATATGAAATATTTGAGACGTGTCAAATAGAAGCTGGAAATAAGATAACTATGTAATAATTACCTAGTGCTTTAACACTTCTTTCAGCAATTATTTTCTCAAAAAAAACAACAAACATTTTCAGCCTCTTCTGTGCAGGTATACAAGCAGAAAAAAATAATTTGAATGAGATTCTTTTTTCTTCTTGTATACCTGAAGAGGACTGATGAAGAGGCCAAAAAACGTTTGTTTTTAAGAAAATAATTGCTAGAAGAAATGTTAAAACACTAAGTAATTATTAGTTGAAACTTGTCTCCATTTCATATAATAGGTGAAATAGAGTAAAGCTGTAGTTGATAATTCTGGTGATACATTTTCATTGAAAAAACAAAATAAGCATTAATTTATTGGGTTCTAATAATTTTAATGAACAATAACATGCATTCAAAACTGTAAACTACTGTACTATATTGTCATACTATTTGCTAAGGCCAAATAAACAAGTGAAAGTTCACTTGAGAAAACTGTCTGCTTTAATGTTTCAATTAAATGCCATGGCATTTATTTATTTTGTAGGAGTAGGACTGTGATTCTTATTTGAAGCTGTAGTTTATTCGGTAACATATATTATATATGTTTTGTAACTGCATTATATTATAGAAATCTTTCTTAAATTTTGAAGTTGGTATGATTACCATAGACAATGTAAAAGTTAGTTTTAAAAATAGCTTCTGGAATAAAGTTTACATATGAGTTATTTGATTGTATGCATTATTAAGCTGCCTGTAGTATAGTAGATTTTTTAAAATAATTTAAATTTAAAAATAAAGTACAAAATATACAAAAGTATAGAAGACAGTCTTATTTAGGAATACTTTCAAACTTTTCAATTCAATATTAAAAAAAATATTGTTTAGAAGTTGTTGTTTTTAGAATATAGTTGATGTGAGGTTTAAAAACATTTCCATTAAATGAAACTTACAGTTTCGATAATTTAGTTAGTTTTGATTTTTTTATTTTCAACAGGAATTATTATTTTTAGATTTAAATGATTTTTAGTTTGTATATTGTTACCTTTTAAGTGTACATGTTTTTCAACTAAAAATTTTTCAAGTATTACATTTTATTGTACATAATAACATTTATTCAATCCACTGTAAATATTATTTTTCTGATAATTCTTTATTCTAAAACTGTAAATAATGAATATGCAACAAAATATTTTCTAGGATATTATATAAATGAACATCTTAGCAGATACAGAAGTCTTAATTTATCTAACTTAGCCATTTTGCCAAACCAAATTAATTGTATCATTAAATGTATTTCATAAATATAAAATCTGAAGAGGAATATTTTGTATTCAAAAGGCATATTTATTGTAATTCACAAGATAATGGATTGCAGGATTTTTAGTTTTAGTATAATTGTAATTCTGTCAAATTATGGACTGTTTTAATGATTTATTTTTAAATATAAGGTTGTCCATAAATTACATAATGCATTTGTTGGTGGATATGAAGTTAACCATTATGATGCATTACAAGGAGGTGGCAGTGTTTACAAAAATGTTACATAAAACTAGAGTACCCTCGGGTAACAGAATGATTCATTTTTGTTTCTGAGGTGTTGCATAGCTCCTATCACTGCTTACATATTACTGCTTTATACATTATATATGTAATTAATAAAATAATGTAACATTCGGTACCCCATGCTGTGTATTATTTTTTAGTATAATTAAGGAGCTTGATTGGCAATGTGTGTTATGTAATTACCAGGGTGCTATGCAACAGTACTATGGAACATTAATAGACATAGTTGAAAAGTATAAAAATAGCATATTATAAATATAAATATATTATGTAATTTAGGAATAGTTCCATTTTTGTGTTCAAGAAGCAATAATAATAATAATTTAATTTTTTTCTTGTTATTGAATTTATTAACAAAAATTTAATTAAACTTTTTTGTTTTTTCAAATCCATAAAAAATTTGAATTAACCAATAATAATTTTTTATAAGTTTATTTCATCACTGTCTTTTCTGACTTTTTGTATAAAATCAGTTTTAAAATTTAAAAATAGAACTACAAATTGAAGCAAAATATTTCAATATAGTAAAATGATTTCTAAAAGCAATGTTGTTATTGTTATTATGAAACTAAAATTCTTTATAACTGTTAGTACCTGTTACTTCACAGAGGAGTTAAATAATTACAATTATGATATTCAATGATTTTCAAGACTGCAATTGTATTATAGTAGAAATGTATATTTTTAAAAAAGTTTTGGAGTTAGAGGAATTTGTTAAGATTTTTTCTTTATAAGACAATAGATTCATCCTGTTCACAGACATAAGTGTTTATGTTTCTTATATTTTAATAGGAAATATTTTTTAGCAGGGAGAACTAAACAGCTTTCTCTGCTAAAGAATAATTCTGTAGCATTTAATTAGAAATTAAAATACTTTTTACGTAATAATACATAATATATTATTTAATTATCATCAAGGGATGCAAATTATTAATTTGATCTTTGATCTTTAATTTTACTTCCCCCAGCTTTAGATACAAGTTTTCTGGGTTAAATGTTTTTTGTTCAATATTTAGCTAATCAGAAATAACTTTCAATAATGTTTTAAATTTTCATAAAATAATCTTAATTTTGTAAATACAGTAGAGTCTCTAAAACTCGGCACTCGATAACCCGGCAGTCCGGATAACTCGGCCACACCCTGGCAGGGCAAAAAAACCCTTAGTTAATTAATTTTCATTATAGACAGCTTTATGCCTCATAAAGTATTTTTCTGAGGTCTGTCTTATCAGGTAAATTACTGTACACAGTGTATTCATTAATTTTCATTTTCATGTAGTAAAGGCTCTATGCCTTCATAAAGGACGTACTTTTCCTNGTATTTTAAATATTATTTATTATATATTTTGTAAAAAGATTTTTTAATTTTTGTTAAACTAGAATATATTATTTTATTTTAATAAAATGTTTTTTATTTCCAGAGATCAAAATCAACTTCTTGAATTTAAAATTAATTCTGTTTGTCTTCTTAATGGAGGTAATACTTTATAGTCATTTCCTTGCATTTAAAACAAAATATTTGGAAATATTTTTTTTAATATAAGGAAGTGAATTATTTTAGTAGTAGAATCTTATGTTAGAAGAAAATATATATATATAAATTCCAGATATTCAAAATAAAATCTAAGTAACATGATAAGATTGTTGTTTTTTCATTAACAACAAATCTTATTGGAAATTTTATTTATTTTGTAGTCATGTAAAATATTTAGTTAAAAGATAAAAGTTCCACATTAAAAAATTTTAATTAAACTTTATTTATAATAAGAATTTTTTGTTGTAGGAATATTTCCAGATAAATATTATCCAAGACTTTCACAAAAAGTATGATTTACAATAATTATTATGTCTATACTGTTGCTATTAGTTATTAAAAGAATAATTAAATACATTATTTTAGGTACTAATGTTACCTATAATAGGAACAATAACAGCCAAACTAATCAGTTTTCCATTTGTCAGAGCTGGGTAAGTTCTAAATTTGTAAAATATTTTACAATTATAGTTTTTATTTTTTACTTATTTCACTTTATTTAGTCTCTAGAGCAATGTTTTTCAACCTTTTTTTTTTTATCTCACAGCACACTTGAACCTATAATTAAATTTTCACAGAAAATGATTTAAAGTTGTGTTTGTAAATATTCTATTGTCATATTACTTGTCACTTAACCTAATTCTCTTTATCTATATTTATTGTGAATTAAATAAAACAGTTTTGTTATTCCTTAAAATAGCAGCATGTTACAATAACAGTTATTTAAATTAATAATTTTTATTTACATCAGAAAAGCAATTAACATTAAGTATTAATTTGCATTTAAAAGTGGCATGATAACTTTCTTTAGAAACCTGCCCAACGTCCTGCTATTTCTAAGTTAAAAAGTTAGTTTGAATAAAATATGTATAGTTATAGATAAATTTTTGATTTAAAGATAATTTTATTTAAAATGAAATAACCTGGTGTTATGCTTATATAACTTTGTTTATGAATATACATTTTTAGCACATTATGTATACATTTATATGAGTTTTTCATTGTTTTAATAAATAATCAATTTAAAGAGGTTTTAATTTTGACATGTATACTTATTGTTCTTTGGGCTTCTTTCCAAAATAGTTTATTTAATAACCTTCAGAAATTTTTGCAGCACACCTAGGATCCTCTTGTGGCACACTGATTGAAAATCACTGCTCTAGAGTATTATTGAAGCTCAAACATCTTTTATTAAGTCTGTAAGAAAGGAACATTGATTTTTCAAATTAGTCATTAACAAATCTTTTAAACAATGTATTTCTAGGTCTGATTTATAAAAGAATTTTCTAAATTATTTCTATTAATTAGTAGCTATTTTTAAATAATAAGTAATCATATAAAAGACTAGCAGGTAAGACCAGCATTGCCTAGGCAAAACATAAGTACATACAAAATTAAGATTATTAGATTGTTTTGTATTTCTAACCCTTTTATTATATTTTATTATATCATAGTATTTGATTTATATAACTACAAATGTTATCTTACATAAATGTTTATTACACCAAGTGACCAATCTATACATTTTAAAAATTCTTTACAGTGTGTACAGAAGAGGAATAAAGAATTTTTAAAATGTGTTAGATCAGTCACTCAGGGGGTGATAAACATTTACATAAGATAATGTTTGTAGTTATATAAATCAAATACTATGATATAACAAATATTAAAATGAAAACCATATAAAGAGTTTGGTTATCCATTTGACCTTCCATTGTCACATTAATTGCGATACTTGGGTGGTATAAAATGGCACAATTTATTGGTCAAGTAGACACCAATTGAAAATAAGATATCTTAAAAAATTTAAGATATCTTATTTTCAATATTGTGTTTTTCCTAATGTTAGCACTAACAAACTGTTTTATTCACTGCCGAATATCAAATGGTGATCTGGCAATCAATCAACTTTTGTGAAAAATGGATCAAATATTTAAACCCAGCATTCTTGAAAACCACATAAATCATATTTTGAGCAGGTTGGTAACCCCATATTTTGTAATTCTCTTATTTGAATGCCCCCATACCAGTGGGTCTGATAGGAAGAAGGGGCTTGAAGGAGATTGAAGTTAATTTGACCAAAAGCAATAGTTGTCCTCTTTTTGAAGTCATTGACCATCTTCTCCTGAAGAAGAAGAAGATCAATGACTTCATTCATTATTTTTGGTCACGTTTTCCTCTTTCCCTATTTACTCTATGTTAAAATGACCTCATTTAATGCTGTTTTGTTTAGCACTTTGTCATTTAGGAACACATCCTCCTGCTCATTACATGCAAATTTATTTGCATGTAAATTTTATTTATATGCAAATAAATTAATTTGTGAAATTTTAATTATTGTTGTTAGCATTTAAATTAATCTTAGATAATGAGGTTTCATTCATTTACTCATATTATGTGAGGTTCCGTGGATCATATGTAATAGTTTCCAATAAAAGTGAAGACAATATGCTGACTTCATATTAGAAATAAATTAAACTTTTATCTCCTGGTTCATGCTCTCTTCACATACTCATACTGTACTCATACACATATTCTGCAGAAAAGCAAAAAGGAAAGTACACCTACATTATATATCTTTTTACACAATCTATTTTTACATGATTTTGAAATAATGCAGTCAACAAAAGAAAACTAATCCTGTTTTTACACAAATATTTTATTTTTTTATATGAAAAAAGTTTTTGAAAATTTTAAAATTTAGTTTTGTTAAAATTGTGTTATTGGTAATAAAAAGTTACTCTTTTTGTTGAAATTAAGAGTTAATTTATTTTTTTAAGCACAGTACAGTATGCACAGTACAGTACAGTACATCTGAAAATACTGTGTTGATTTTATGTTTCCTATGCTGCCTTGTGTTTACTATATTTACCTACAAACAATGTTAATGATAAATGATGTTAGAATAAAAAAGCTTGTACAGCTTTCCCTTGATAATCCGACAGGTATGGGACCAAAGGGGTGTTGGATTACCAAAAGTGATTACTAATATACTAAAAATAAATACAACTTTTTACAAAGAAAAAATTCTTTGTTCCAGTCATTTTTTCATTATTCACACCATCAGCTGTTCATTAAAAAACACAAATACTCACGGAGACGACCTTCCTTTTTAGGCTACTGCCTCATAGTCCTTTTTTACATTTTAACTACAGAGGCAGTAGCCTAAAAAGGAAGGTCGTCTCCGTGAGTATTTGTGTTTTTTAATGAACTGCTGATGGTGTGAACAACGAAAAAATGACTGAAACAAAGAATTTTTTCTTTGTAAAAAGTTGTATTTATTTTTAATATATTAATATTAAATAATCGTTGGCCATGTAAACTTATTTTTACTTAAAAGTGATTACATATTTGGCATTGTTTTGCTAGCAGTAGCCTACTCCAACTGTTCAAACATATGTAATATTCCCTAATCCAATTGTTCAAACAGAACTGCTCACGGAAAACACATGAAATGTGTGTCACCATGTAAGAATTGGGTGGGGAGATTCAAGTCGCTACATGCTTCTGTGCAAGCAGACACGTAACGGGGATGTGTACCTTGACGGGAGATGCGTCGGACTACTGAGCATGTTGGATTACAAAACGGTGGACTATCAAGGGACAGCTGTATTTCTTTGGTAAATGGCTTATTTTTTCGCTCCATTCAACTTCTGGAACCTATCAAGCATTTTTCTACAAGATGCATGTTCTGTACTTTTTTATGTAATTTTTGTTTTACATGACATTCTTTGTAATGTATCCAGTAAAAAAAAAGGGATAGATGTAATATGACAATATACTGTACATGATGCTCCTTGTATCCAGGTGATATATCAAAATTAAAATACAATAGATTATTTAAGTACAGTAAGACCCTGCTTAATGCTGCCTCAATTAACACTGATTCGATATAACATGGTCTGCTCGAAGCCTGAAAAAAACTCAAAATTTACACTGATTCAAATTATTGCGTCATTTCATTGATTATTCCTAAACACAAACCAACCATAAAAGGTGGAAATTCATCGTAGCGCTGTACTTTCCTTAAATCTATATTTGTTTGGTGCAATTTTGAAAAAAATATAACATCATGGATGCCATTGGCAATATCGACTTCGTTTGTCAAGAATTAACTGATAAATGTACGAATGAAGTGTGGAAAAAGTTATGGCTGAAGGTATCCAAGAATTCTCAACAAGAAGAGCCTAATTGATACAGCAGGACTAGGAGATGTAGACAAGTAGAATATTAAGGAGTTACTGCAGGTTTCTGGTGATAGCCTTACTAACAATGACCTTCAATAACTGGCAGAACAAGGAAGGAATTCACTAAAACTGGAAAATAGAGATTCTGAAAATGAAGAACCAAAAAATTTCTCTACAGATTTCCTTAGTAAAAATTTGGTAACAATAACCAAAATCATTGATCAAACTGTAGCGAATGATCCAGAGTTTGAAAGGAGTGCAAAAGCAAAACAAGGCATTTTGGATGCAATCTTCTGCTACTGACATTTGCTTAAGGAAAGGAAAAAAGTGACAATTGAAACTTCATGACTTTATTGCAAAAAAAAAAAAAACATGAATTTCAGAAAAGCCTGGACTTTTATCACAAGAAATGAACTTTACATTTCTGTGTGCATATGTTTATGTTATTTAACATATATTATTATGCAAATTAATATAAAAATAACTTAAAGTAAAATCTGTTTATTTTTGGTCACGTTTTTTTCTTTCCCTATTTACTCTATGTTAAAATGATCTCATTTAATGCTGTTTTGTTTAGCACTTTGTCATTTAGGAACACATCCTCCTGCATTAAGTGGGGTCTTACTGTACATTATACATTACATTATACAAATAAAATTATCCAACACATATAGCCACTTAAAATGAATCTTTATAACATTTCTAATGGTTTTACTTTCTTTTAGAATGTAAACAAAGAAATTTATTACAAATAATTTAAATTTTAAAATTAGATTCTTATATAGAATTAGAACTACATAATATCATAATATATATATTATATTTACAAATGTTAAATGTTTTATTATTTTTAGACTTTGTGAATTATTTGGACCAAATACACAACCTCATTCAGAAGAATTACATAATTTCTGGTCTATTATGCAATACCAAGAAGGCTATAGAGCATGGGGATCGTAGGTTTTGTAACTTTGAAAAATAGAACTTTGTTTATGTTGATACAATACAATATTAATTTATATTTTCCAGGATTTTAAATTATATACAAGAAAGAAATGATAATGAAGAAAGATGGGTTTCTGCAATTCAGAAAGCAACTGTACCAGGTATATTAGAAAAGTTAAAAATTATATTTGAATAAAAATAATCTAGATAATAATAACAATGATGATGATGATGATAACTCTTGCCAGTCACCACTTTGCTGTTGTGAGAGAGCTCAGAAATTCTGATGAACCTTAGAGCTGTGCTGACTGGAGGATCTGCTCCTGGTAAGGTACCCATTCCAATGAGGTTTGTGGAGAGAAATGAAGCCATGAATGACTGAACCCACATCTGTAAACCATAGTGATAACATGATCCAAATGTAATCAGACATCAACTAGTTTAATAAGGTCTGTGCTCATGAGTTAGGCAGAGACTCACATTGAAAAATATGTCATAAGTCAGTCTCCTTTGGCCACCAGTGGTGAAAGCAGCACTGGTCCTAGTATGGCTACTGCAATGCCCATACCATTTGTGAAAAACTAGCCTAACCATGATGTTTTTCATGCAATCCTGCTACAGACCACTAAGACATATAATCCATGCCAATAGACGAAATGGACATCAGAAATGAATGCGTTTATCATTTGTATTTATTACACCATCACAAAACTCAAAACAGATATAACAGCAGTTACATCACATCACTTGTTTTCACAACAATATCCTCATCTCACAGTCACTAGGACACACCTAATATGCATTGTGGATGCACAAGACATCCATTGCACAACTGGCAACAGCTGATGTAGACAATATTCACAATTTCTGATACAAAAATTTCACATTCCTGTACCAGGAGCCAGCTAAAGATTTAACACATATCATCAACAATCCACAAGACATGCCAAATTTTCTCATGTTGGGCATCACCTTCATGAAACCAGAAAACAACAGCAAAGACCCTGCACAGTACAGACTAAATACATGTCTTCCACACTTTACAAGATTCTTACTCTTGCAAACAAAATATACAATCATATTGATGAACATGACATTCTTACAGAACAACAAAATGGCTTCCATGGAAATCATTAAAGGTTTCAAAGAACAACTACTCATTGACTCTTTTATCCTATGGTAAGTTCATAAGCAACACAGAAACATACACATGGCATATATTGATTACAGAAAAGCATTCGACAGTGTCTCTCACAATTGGCTGCTGCACACACTTCACAACTACAAAATTCATCCCCAACTCATTAGTTTTCTTGGTTTTATCATGCTTCATTGGAAAACAACATTACATCTTAACCTACACAACACTCATATAAAAACAAATCAAGCAAGGAATTTTTCAAGGAGATTTCTTGAATTTTTTTGGTTCTGTCTTGCACTTAACCCTTCTTATAACACATTGAACAAAACACAATATGGTTACAATATCAGACACAACAAAACAACTCTTCACACTGTTGCATCTCATACTGTACATGGATGATATCAAACTTTAGGCATCCATACAGAATCAGCTTCATCATCTATTACATATACACACGCATACTCAAATGATATACAAATTGAGTTTGTTCTATACAAATACAAAACCACATTGAAAAAGTAGTTCTGAAGAAAGAAGACTTTGTACTTACAAGTGGAGAAATATCTCTACTTCTGAGTATTCATAGAAGTCTATGGAAGAGAGTGAGTTTTACAAATATTCAAGATTCCAACAGGGCAAATTTACAGAACAATGCACAGATAAAACAAAGATTAACACGAACCAGAACAGATTAAATGAAGTACACATGAAGATAAATTCAAAACATGCTATTAAAGCAATTAATACATTTGCTGTCCTTGTACTCACTTATTCTATTGGAGTTATATACTGGGCATGTACAAACCTTGATCAACTCCAAAGGAAAACAAGAACTCTTACTAAAACAAAAACAATAACACCTAAAATCATCCATAGAAAGACTAACTCTTGCTTGTAAAGAAGGTGGTCTTGTCCTAACTAATATGGTTAACCTACATTAAAAACAAATTCTCGTACTGTGGGAGTTTTTTCACAAAACCAAAAAACATCAAGACTACATAAAGCTACAACTCTGGCAGACATTAACAATACACCTTTAAACTTACACTCTGAGTACCTGGACATAGCTCAACACATAAATAACATATACACTACTAAGCACTTACGGCCCCAAAAGGCACTTCTTAGACCTAGTTCAGGAGTATGTTAAATAAACTGCATCAAACTACTGGCTGATTATGGGTTACCTGTTTTGAGAGACAGGTTTATGGTTGTCATTCAAGATTAGATCATAAATACTTCAACTACAGAAAATACTTTCTGAAGACTATCTCACTTACAAATGACTCTTGCAGAAAATGCCACATTCTGCCAGAAACAATACAACATATAACCTTTGATTGCAAGCTCTCAGCACAAACAGACTATTTACATAAGCATAATCAAATAGTAAATATAATAAACCATGAGTTTGCACACAAGCACAGATTATTAAACACCTAGGTATCATACTACAAATGTACAGTACTCCACAGTCAGTTTTAGATAATAACACACAAAATATACTATGGCAGAGCCATAATTGCAGATAAAACAATTCATCACAATACTTTTATTGACATTACTTTTATTGACAAAGGCAGTAAGGTTGTTTATATAATAGACATCTCCATTTCAAACACTCATAACATGAAAAATGCTCACACTGAAAAAATCAGCAAGTACACTCCACTCACCCAAGAAATAAGGAAGCTGTGGAGGATGAATGGGGTATTTATTGTGCCTAATGTATTGTGCTCTTTCACTGACCTATGTCATACCACATTATGCACTACACAAAAATCTAACAACATTAAACCTTAATAAATAAATATATATATACAGTATATATATATATGTTTACCCAAAAAGTGTAAAAGTGTTATACCTAAAAAAGTGATACCCACTGCTTGGCACCAGTATCAGCTGAGCAGACATTTGCAACATAATATAAATAATAATAATAATAAAATTAATTATAGTTAATAATTCGTAATATTTTCATCCGATGATTCTTTTTATTTTATAATATTTGAAGACAAGTTCGCCCATATAGGGATCACCATTTTTTGCTTTTGCGTNAAGATTGATTATTTATGTTTTTATTATAATATTTTGAATAATAATTTTTTGCATTTGCATAAATAAAAACATTTAAAACTTGTAAAATTACAAATGGACACTATCTGTTATTAAAGCTGAAGGATTGTTGGATTATATCTGGCTATATTGCTGCCACTGTTGATAATTAAATTCTGTAATTTGGCACTAAATGTAGGTGTTTGGTGTTCTCTTGCTAAATTTAACATTTATAATCTGGCAATTGTTTGGCTTTAATATACACTGGCAGAAAATGAAATCCCAACACCAAGAAAAAATTAATTTACAGGAATGAAATTCAGGCAAAGCATTTGTCTAGGTAACATATTTATTTGATTGAATTTTTAAGGTCACAGGCTAAAGTATGTGCAAGAAGATCTATTTCAAATGTGAAATGGTGGTACATTAATAACTGTTGTAGTCTCCATGATTTTGAATGCAAGCATGAAAACGTGCATGCATTGTGTCGTACAGGTGCTGTATGTCATTTTATGGGATGAAGTTCCATGCCTGTTGCACTTGCTCAGGCAAATCAGCAACAGTTAATGCTGGTTGTGGGTTATGCTGAATTTGTCGTCTGATAATGTCCCATATGTGGTCAATGGGAGAAAGATCTGGTGATCTCGCAGGCCAAGGCATAAACTATACAAAATTTTTAGTAAAATTATTATACAATCATAAGTTCAAGAATAAAAATAATAAATAACAGAATAAACAATGAGAAACTAATTAGTTTTGCACTATCAATGTTAGAAAAATGAACTACATATTTTTAAGCCAAAGTCTATAGTTTAGTTAATTAAAACTAAGTTAATTCTAACTCAAAAATAATATAACTTTTAGATATGTTTGACTATTAAAAAATTAGGTTATTCAAAGTAACTTTTACTTAACTGTGTAAAAATAATTTTTGATTTTGTAAATTCTTTATTAAAATCTTATTCAAGCCTATAGGAATATTATATAACTTATAGGAAGAACTACTTGTGTATTTTTTGCTGAATTTTAATGATAATATATTGTTTTATTATGGTTATTAGATATTGGAATTACAAAGTAATTTAATTTATTTATTTTAGTATATATGATATATGGACCAGCAGATCCCGTCAATCCACCTCCATTTGCAGAACATTACAGGTAACTATTTCAACAATATGCATTTTTTATAATTTTACATTATTTAATGTTTCAAATGACTAATTTTCAGAAAAATGATACCAAAGCCACTTATTACAGTACTTCCAAATCATATTGGGCATTATGTTCAGCTTGAAGCTCCAGAAGAAATGATAGAAAATTATTTTAATTTTTTAGATAATTTAGCAAATAATAATTCCACACAATTGTAGTTATATCATAACAGAAAGTTTATAACAGAATGACTTAAATAGAACTCAAGACTGGAAACAAAATCATCTGTTTATTCTCATACTCTTGCAATTAGATGGAAATGAATGATTGTGGCTATTTAATGGTGTTATGAGCTTAGTTATTCAGTAATAGAAGTAATATTATTGAATAACTTTCCTCTTCTATAATAACATATCAAGGTGGATATCTTATATAAATCAATTTTTATCACTTTCTTGAGTTAAGTCAGTATGAAAAGATACTCACTCATTTATCTGCATTTCCTAATAATTGAGGGTCCACTCAAGAACAGCTTGTCCTATTCCAATACATTGAAGTTTTTGCAAATATTTTAGTATTGAGAATTTGAATTCTTTTTAAGTTGTTTGTAACAAAATTTTTATAACAATTCTTTGTTTGAAAATTGTTTTATACAACAGATTTTTAACCAATTTTTGGCAAATTTCTTGATACATTTACATTCTTGATACATTGAAGCTTTTTTACAGCCAATTTATGTGTTATATTTGTGAATTATAAGTTGTGATATTAATGTGCCAATATTAGAAATTTTCGTCTATAAATATATTAAAGAATACTATATATAATTCTTTAATTCTTAATTGCCTTAAAAAATTATTACTTATAAACACAAAACTTTTCTTTTCATCAAATAATAGTGATAGGTTCATTTGAATGATTTTTATGATCAAATGATTAATCTTTGAATGTCTTGAATAATTAAATGATCATTCAAATGAATTATTCAAATCTGTAAAATTTCTTCTATGAACTAAATTTTTGAATTCTCAGATGTTTAAGTCAAAATGATGATGTAATCATTTCATATATTCTACATTAAGCACAGAAATATGAAAGCCTTTAAGTTATTTTAAAAATTTTATTATTAATTAATAATGTAATGCTTAAATTAATAAGTTACTTTTAGTTGAATTTAAATATATCACTTTAATTTATAAAATTATTAAATATTTGAAGTGTTTTTGCTTTAAATGATTAAAACTGAAACTGTTTTCAAACATCCACCATGGGAAAAAATCAAGATACACTATGTAAACAACTAGCTTAATTAACTACTTACAGCACATGATACAGTATAGGGTTTTTACTGTACATGATGAGAAACTGCTAATGTGTAATACAATATTTTTTCTTCTTTTTTTGAGAAGTTGGACATTGACTTCTTTGGTATAGCAGTGCAGTTGCTGCCTTCTTGTAGTTAAAACTAATTTTTTGGCAACTTTTTCTTTATTTTAATATTACAAACTACAATAAAAGGAATTCATTTGAATAATTCAACCACCTCTTTTATTGTATTTTTCAAAATTATATTAAAAAGATTGATTATTTATGTTTTTATTATAATATTTTGAATAATAATTTTTTGCATTTGCATAAATAAAAACATTTAAAACTTGTAAAATTACAAATGGACACTATCTGTTATTAAAGCTGAAGGATTGTTGGATTATATCTGGCTATATTGCTGCCACTGTTGATAATTAAATTCTGTAATTTGGCACTAAATGTAGGTGTTTGGTGTTCTCTTGCTAAATTTAACATTTATAATCTGGCAATTGTTTGGCTTTAATATACACTGGCAGAAAATGAAATCCCAACACCAAGAAAAAATTAATTTACAGGAATGAAATTCAGGCAAAGCATTTGTCTAGGTAACATATTTATTTGATTGAATTTTTAAGGTCACAGGCTAAAGTATGTGCAAGAAGATCTATTTCAAATGTGAAATGGTGGTACATTAATAACTGTTGTAGTCTCCATGATTTTGAATGCAAGCATGAAAACGTGCATGCATTGTGTCGTACAGGTGCTGTATGTCATTTTATGGGATGAAGTTCCATGCCTGTTGCACTTGATCAGGCAAATCAGCAACAGTTAATGCTGGTTGTGGGTAATGCTGAATTTGTCGTCTGATAATGTCCCATATGTCATCAATGGGAGAAAGATCTGGTGATCTCGCAGGCCAAGGCAACATGTCGACACTCTGTAGAGCACGTTGGGTGATAGCAGCAGCATGGGAACGAGTGTAATCCTGTTTGAAAACATCCCCTTGACTATTGCTCATGAATGGCAGTACAACCAGTTCAATTACTAGTCTGACGTACAAATTTGCTGTCAAGGTGCTTGGGATAACGATGAGAGTGCTCCTGCTGTTACAGGAAATTGCTCCTTACACCATAACTCCTGGTGTAGGTCCAGTGTCTATGGCGCAGATAGCTTGGTTTCAAGTGCTCACCTGACCTCCTTCTAACCAACATACAGCCATCACTGGCACCAAGACAGAAATGACTCTAATCTGAGAACACAACAGATCGCCACTCCACCCTCCAATGAACTCTTGCTTAACACCTCTGAAGTCACAGATGGCAGTGATTTGGAGTTAGTGGAATGAATGCCACAGGGCGTCTGACTCGGAACTTCCCTCAAGTAATCAATTTGTTACAGTTTGCTGGTGCCAACAGAAGCTCTAATTTCTGCTGCAGATGCAGTACAATGCACCACAGCCATGCAGCAAATATGGTGGTCTTTCCTCTCAGTAGTGGCCCATATGCGGCCAGACCCAGATCTTGAGACAGCACCTTCCCATGACCACAGCTGCCAACAATCGTGTACAGTGGATACATCCCTTTCAAGTCTTTCTGCAATAGCGTGGAAAGAAAACCACTTTTTTGTAGCCCTATTACACGGCCTTGTTCAAACTTAGTAAGCTGCTGATACTGCCTTCATCTCCTTAAATTAAAGGCATTCTTGACTCAAACCTTAATTCACAATGTTCAATCCGGATGATAAATAACACTCAACAAGTTTACATCCTGTATTTACAGCAAACGTGATTTGCATGTTCATAGTGGTGCTACTCATGCCACTCTCATTCGTCTAGTGCGAAATTTGAATAGACATCATCTTTCAGATATGAAAACACACCTACCAAGTTTTGTTTATCTAGCACAACTCTTTCTTGGTGTTGGGATTTCGTTTTCCACCAGTGGATAATTATTGGGTTTTAGAAGTTGATATTTGGAGACTATCAACTGTAGCTATCAATAAAATTAGTAAATTTTTTATAAAGAAACTTATGCACTTTTCATATATGTCATTAATGTAATAAACCAATACTTTTAATAGTAAATAAATAATCCTAATTATTCCATGACAATATGATACATATTTATATAAGCATTTAAGGTAACAAACATTCCTTTTTATATCAAAACATTTAGAAGTTTTTTTAATAAAATTTAGTAACTGCTGAAATGCTATGAAAGAATGCAAATTGATATTATTGAAATGTATACATTTGATAATTTTCATCTGATGTATAAAAATTGTTATGCTTATTGTAAATAAAATAAATATTTTATTAATTTTATAAAATGTTTATTAACAATGAAAAAATGTTTTTAAATAAAGTTTTCAAATATATATAAGTAAACTTTTAGAAATTATTTTTTCAGATTGAAAAATATATTAAGACGGTTTATGTATTAGAAAGATTCGTGCTATTAAATTTTGGTTGTTTAAAGTGGACGGGGTGGGGAGATAAAGGGTAGTCGTGGTTACAAAGGGTACATTTGCAAATTTTTCATTACAAAACAATAAGAAAATTATCAATACAGATCATGTTTGAAAACCTTTTCTACAGGTTCCAATGATGGTAAATTAGTGCTTTCCTTTGATCACAGATTGATTGAATATGATTGAATACATGATTATGATTGAATACATGCTTATGATTGAATACATTTAACCCAACAGATAACCACATCATCCTACCTTTAAAATAACCCATAGTTCATTAATAAAGAAGAAAGAAACATTAAATGATAATCAAGTAATATTTTAATGAAGTACAGGTAAAATAAATGGTATGGATACATTTTGTCTTATCATACAAGTATTATCACACAGTGAGCCTAATGGCAGCCCTTAGTACCAGTAAATAGTGAGTGGTAGGTTGGTGCTGCAATCTGAGAAATTTGTAATTATCCTAGCCAAATTTGTGCAGGATTAGTGATTGTCGATCTGTATTAGAAATTGAGTATTGTGAATATATAACTTTATATATGTAAGAATTATGTGTAATAATAATTTGTTATTTTTATTATCATATACTGTAGTTTTAGGCTGTATTACATTATATCACAAAGAAAGTGGGAGTAAAATAACCATTTCCTGAGGGTAGGAAGTATGTAATTTTAAGGTTTTTCTTTTCAATATTGACTTTCTGATTTAAAAACAGGCAAAATAAATTATAGTTTTGCATAATTATTTATTATAAAATCAGCAAAGTCTGCGTAAAAATTTTATTAGAATAAACGCTGATTTTCTGAGATTTTATTTCTCTTTCTCTTTTTTTCTGGCCATAAGCATTAGAAAAGCCGATTTATTGTATATGTGTATGAAATAAACAATGTAGGCTTACTGATTGCTGATTGTTTATTTAATAATAAGCGTAGGCAACTTGTTACATAATATTATTTTACTGTTATTAAATTAGTCTAACTGTAGACTTTAATACAAACTTACGTACCATCAACGCAGCCGAACACAAGTCATTTCTCCCTTTCCTTTGAAACGTAACATTATTTGTATTAATCTTTAAACTTCGAGAAAATCTGTGTTCATCTTCTATTAAGTTACATTCAGGGCCGGCCATCGGGGCCACCATCGGTACATCGGGTACATCGGGGCCGGCCATCGGGTACGGCGGATGCTGTGCACCGGGGCCCCGCGATTGAGGGGGCCCTAACATTGTCAAGAATGCACAAGAAAACTCGACAATATTCCTATCGTTGTCAGTATGACGAAAAGTACATTTTATCGTAAACATTATTATTGTAATCTCTGAATTTCGACAATCTTCAAACTAATTCTCGGTGATGCGAATGTTTAGTTTTTGTTATTTGATTCGGGAAACTCCCGAGGATCCCCACCTAAATTCGACTTTAAAATAAAAAAATCTCAATACCATATAGCCCGCNAAGCTTAGCCTGAGTCACGTACTCCTAGTCTTCGGTAAGATTTACCCACCGTCTTCCTATCGAATTTACGATTTAGAAACTGATCATACCTGCATATCCTGTTAAAAAAGTTCCATCATAGACACAGAGTTGTTCGCTATCCAATTCAGTCGAAAGTCCAGGTAGTTCATTAATCGGATCACGTTCGGGTCACCACTTTGTCATTCAATCCTACTGATGTTTAGATCTAACATTAAGCAGGCAAACACGAACAGTAACAAAAAAGAACTTTATTAGAAAAGGTTAGAACTGTCACAGACATCCTCGGGCAACACCCGGACAAAATCCAACGAACTTTCGCGCCTTTTCTTTTTTTGACGTTGCCAGCCACTCTTGTTGGCAAGTGTTGCCAGACAGAGTTCGTGATCTCTGGCGCTGGCGGCCACAAGCTCATTTCATGTTGTGTACAATGATGTACAGTATTTTCGCCAAACCCAGTGGCGTAACGAACATAACTGGCGCCCGGGACACGACACTTTATTGGCGCCCCCTCCAGAAACACATATAGTTTGTCTGGAGACCATTTGGGCGCCCCTCTGCGAGTGGCACCCAGTGCATGATACACCCCCTTGCATCCCCCTCACTACGCTACTGGTCAAACTCCTCCCTTTTAATTACGTATACGATAGTTAATGAACCTCTGAAATTGAAGAAAGACTTTAAAAGGTTTTACAAATAATGATTTATTCACGTGAATAGTAAGTAGGGTTATAAGAACAAATTTATATGCCACTATACTACTAAAAAAAAAGCAACAGAAAATTCCCCGACCTCCTCCCTCTCCATCACGTACAGTATAATGTATCAATAGTTTTCGCGATCCACTCCTTCCTTATAAAATTGATGAAAGTATACGGGTGATGACCTTGATTTCTCGTGTTTTGAAATATAAGAGATAAGTGAGTTAAACAGGAGCCTTAAAAGCATTATAGAAATATTGACCTCGTTTACATAGTGACTGTTGATAAGCCACATGTTGAGAACTAAAATGATAAGCGACGGTTTGACAACGGGAAAATACAGATGTATACGATAACATGTGGATCTGAGTGAGTAGACATTGTGTTGATATCATGGCGGTTCGTGTTTTTGTTTCGGACTTTAATTAATATGTTACTTATAATTGAAATTAAATTTAATATAATAATTAAATTTTGATTTTGTGTAAAACATAACCACTTGAAATTTTAACTTTGGAGTTATTTTAGTAACAAGATAAGCTTAGATAGCAACGTGATAAACTTTTATCGAAGCTGAAAACATACTAAAACGTTTTTAATTATTTATAATATTTTGCTAATCTTTAATCGATTGTTTTAAAAAATCGAAAAAGTGATTTATATAATTTAATAGGTTAAATTTTGATGTTTTATGCTATAATAATGGAAATGTTTATCAGACTTTGTAATTTTTACGTCAATTTAACGTCATATTGATGGATTTTCATTACAAAAAAGTAAGAAAGACGTTAAAGTGTCGTAAGAATGTACAGAATTACAGTACGCTCCGCTGATTATAATCACAAATATTGTTATTCGTCGTTTAATGTTATCAGAATTAATGTATCCCAAAGCATGTAAGTTAATAATAATTATAACTATTATTAATTAATCTTCAAGTTTGTGCTTTTTAATATCAGATCAACAAAACTAGAATTTTCATTAGTCTTCTTTTTTTACCCCAAGTAATGTTTTTAATGAGTTTTATCACTATAGACGAGTTATAAACTGATTAAAATAAATAGATTTTTACAGTATGATAACGCCAATGTACTTTAATTTTTCGACAATGAACACTCCTGTATCTATGATGAAAATAATTACTTAGGAAATACGATTCTGAATTAATATTTACTCTATCATCACATTAACCCTCTTACCTAATCATATAATTAAAAATTATGAAAATCATCTTGAGTTCAAAAAATTAATATAAACGTATTGCGTCTAAATGAAATGAATTGGATTATTTGTTGTTGGATTATTAGATGAAACTCCTCTTACACTTAGTTATGAATTATTTTCTATTTTATTAGAAATGTTTTCAGTTTTTACCGCAAGAATCATGTGTCACCCTTAATTCCGTTTTTTTACTAACCGATCCCTATTTTCCCCCTGCTAAGCTTTTCAAAAGATGAAATCATGTTTTAGATTGAGCTGATAAACGTAAACAAACGTTAAATCTCTATCCACAATTATTCTAAAGTCACTCCAGAGATGCATTAAGTGGGCTATCGTTAAGATCTCGGTACACGTTCGGATAACATAGAAAATAGTTCTTTAACTAACTATTCTTGTAGCCGAGACGATAAAAGGCGTCAGTCTGCCTCTCTGGGAGATCCAGAATTGAATCTGAGCAGAGAACCCGAGGAATTTTTATGGGCGATCTGCGTTTATATGTCGGATCTCGTTTCTCATCACCCGGCCGTCCCATTGTGAGCCTGGCCGAACCCATAATGAACCTAAAAATCTTAGTGCCCTTAGGGCGAAAAGACAAAAACGAAATAAGCTATCATCATTCCTGCCATACATTGTATGGCAGGAATGATGATAGGGCGAAAAGACAAAACCGAAATAAGCTATCATCATTCCTGCCATACATTGTATGGCAGGAATGATGATAGCTTATTTCGAGGCAGGAATCATCATAATGTTATCATCACCAATACATTATGGCAGGAATCATCATAAGCTATCACAAGGTATTATCAATCACCAATACATTATGGTAGGAATCATCATAAGCTATCATCATTCCTGCCATACAATGTATGGCAGGAATGATGATAGCTTATNCACTAAGAAGGCCTCTTTCAACAAACCCATTATGGATTTGACTATGCCCACAATAGGGCAACCAGGTGGTAAGGGATGAGGCCCAACGTATTTAGATGGACCACTCCCTGAAAAATTCCTGAGGATTTTTTGACCTGTTTGAATTCAATCTTGGGTCCCCCAGAACAGTAGGCTCAGAACCTTGACTGCTCGGCCATTTAGCAATCTCAAAGAAGGGACTGTTGCAGAAAGGTATTGAAGTAATTTGACCAAAAGTAGTCATTGTTTTCCTCCTGGAAGGGAAGATGGTCAGTGACCACTAATTAATACTGGTCTACTATTAATTAATATTTGAAAAGTGATCCATGTTGTATAGATTGTGATGGCCTTGCATGTGATCAAATTTGCTAACTTTAATGTCTGAAAGACTTTATGTAAAATAAAGTCTTTCAGACATTAAAGTTTGTTTAAATAAAAAAAAAAAAAATGTGAGAACAATTGCTTTTATATGATGATAAAGTGTGGGAAGTATGTTCTGTAAATATCACGTTTATAGAAAAATTATTGGGCTGCAAGTTGAAAAAATTGTAGACCTATGGATTCTGACTGTCGTCTGCCTGTTTGTCTGTCCTTCCTTAATCTCAAGAAAGGAATTAGATAGATGAAAGTTGAGACCAGATATGGAAAGCTTAGAGGCAAGAGGCTAAGATTATTATCTATTGGCAAGCGCCAAATCCGACAGAGGGCGCTGTTTTTGAGCCAAGATGGTTGCCGAAACAGGTAAGGAGCCGACCACGTGTTTGTTCAGTGCCTGAACCGATTTAGTTTCTATCGGTGACGACTACTGCGAGGACTAAATGAAGAACAAATCATTGAATTTATGTCAAATTCTAGACTATATCGGCGACAGGAAACGTTGTCTTGTAGAACGTGAAGTCGTTTTGGATATATGTGACGTACACACACACACACACACACACACAAAACATAATGTGTGCTACAAACTTTTGACTGGCCTATGTTGTATAAGTGCTGAATGACTCAGCAGGGCAGCCTTCAGATTGGCACTAATTTTAACTGTTATGATAAATAAAACTTTGTTTTTATATTGGAACATTGTGTATACTGCTTAAAATATTTAAATACTTCTCACCTGTTAACGTGTAATAAACATGCTATCACATGTTTACAAAAACACGACAGCTCCGCTTTGCACGTGCATTCTCCCTGTAATTGAGATGTATTAAAATGCCAATATCTGAGATTGCAACATTAAAGCAACAACATGAACTTCGGTGTTGTTGTTAGTTTAATCCACAAAATACGATGTGTCCGCATCCAAAACGGCTTCACCTTCTACAAGACAACGTTTCCTGTCGCCGATATAGTCTAGAATTTGACATAAATTCAATGATTTGTTCTTCATTTGGTTTTCGTAGTAGTCGTCACCGATAGAAACTAAATCGGCTCAGGCACTGAACAAACACGTGGTCGGCTCCTTACCTGTTTCAGCAGCCATCTTGGCTCAAAAACAGCGCCCTCTGTCGGATTTGGCGCTTGCCAATATACAAACTTCCAGTTTGGATCAGAAGTCACACTACTTCAATTCAAAATTTTCTCCCAAATGGAATTAGATAAATAAATAGCACATGGAAATACTCTATTAAAATAGGACTTGAAATGAGTAAAAACACCTTGTAATATGTACAACAATATTGGACAGTTGTCAGTCTTAAATATTAATTAATTAATTAGATTATTGTATTAATTTTTTGGAGATAGTTTTTTATTATTATTATTATTATTGTAATTTAGGATTTTAATGTTAAAAAATTTGTTAACTATATTCTAGAGAATTCCATTTTGAACATTTCTTTACAAATTCAATATTATGTTTTCTGAATTCGAACACAATTTACCTGACAAAGGCTCATAATAAGAGTTGAAAAATGTTTAGTAAAGAAATTTAAATACCCCAGTAGTAAGGTGGTTTTTTTATATTTAATGCAAGTTATCTTTAACTACAAGCAACAGATTTTGATTTATTAATTCTGAAAATTAAAATTGAAGCAATTGCATTGCCTGAGAATATTTCAAAAAGTGCTGTGTTATGTGAATCCACGCTATACAAAACAAAGAACTAATGCAGGGATAGCAAAACATATAGTATACATGTCCAAAGTGGCACATAGAGAGAAATCATCTGGCACACAATGTATCATATGATTTCGATTTATCATCTGTCATTTTCAATCATCCCTTTGGCTTATCACTTGATCATCCTTTTTTTCAATTAGTTTTTTGCATTTATTCTAATTAAAACGTATTTGTTTAATTTATTTAGATATTGTTGTTTGAAGTCTAAAACTTTGGCATGTATTACATAGTGTATACAGATAGAGTAATTTAAAAACTCACGCCAAAAGTTGTGTAATCCTTGATAACGAGCACTGAGTTCAGCGTTAATACAATATTTCTTGTATTACAAGTACTTTCAATGAGTATAAATTCATCGTCCTCAAGCGAAAAAGAACAATATAAAGAAAAGAACATGCAGAGTGTTCTAAGGAGAACAGAAATTTTTAAAATTTTAACTCAAACATCCAGTAATATCATTAGTAACGTGCAACAAGCTTTTGAAAATGTTTGAAAATCTTAAATCTATGCAATGGGCAGTGCATGTGTTGAATTGCAACCATGCTAATTGTACGACATTTGGCACATTTTGTTGTTTAAACTCTGATATAAGGCTACTCATATCTCAGGCAAGTTGAGGGTGGGAACGTTGCATGCATCTGTAGTTATTGTGAGAAGTACCTCCCAAATAAATACAATCCTTCTGCTACTGCAGCACTTGAGTAATACTGTTTTGGACCACAATGGGTTGTAGTCTTGTTGTAGAACTTTTTTGGCGAGCTCTGTGGTTTGTCTTCTACAGAGCTCGCCAAGTGATAAAGAACAATATAAAGAAAAGAATATGCAGAGTGTTCGCATTGTATCCACTGATGAGGCTTACTTATGAAGCAAAATGAATTTGGAGTATATCAGTTGTAGAAAAAACGAAATAAAAATACTGCTAATAATGAAAGTTTAGGTTTTTTATCATTTGTTTATCTGTTTAACTTGTCGTGTCTCTTGAAGTTGGAAGAAGTCAGAGTGTATTTTTTTTACTTGTTTTTAAACTAAGAATATCCTTTATTTTTAGTATTTATATATTTAGATATGTTTAAATAAACTTTACTAAATACAAAGATGAATGTATAACAAAAGACAGT